TACAATTCGACTATAACATGTAGGTCTTCGACAACAACATGTGAGCAAACTTCGACGACATGCTAACTATAGTTTGATTCAATATCTCACAAATCTCCAACTTGGATCTAACTTTACCATCTAGAAACAAACTAGCTTTCTTCATGCAGCTTTATCAACTGCATATAGTGGAAAAAATTACAATTGGGCAACATTTTGGTGATCATATCAGCAATATTATGATCTGTCAAAACCTTCAACACTTGGTCTTCTCCATGCTCGATTACCCGTCTGAAGAAATCCAGCCTCACATCAATGTGCTTGGTTCGCTCATGATAGGATGAATTCTTCGATAGTTGTATTGTACTTTGACTATCACATTTAACAGTGACAACTCGACCTTGAAATTTCAGCTCCTTTGCAAACCTTCAAGCCACAATGCTTCCTTCAGAGCTTCAGTTAGGGCAATATATTCCGCTACAGTGGTTGATAAAGCAACAACCTTATGAAGTGTTGCTTTCCAATTAATTGTTATGTCAATCATAGTGAGCACATATCCAGAAATTCAATTTCTAGAATCCATACAACCTACTTAATATGAGTCAACATATCCTTTGATTGTTGCGTTACTATCTTCACCCAAGGCTCCACCACAAATTAGGACTCTGTTTAGAGACCCATTTATGTACCTTAAAATCCACTTCATTGCTTACTAGTGAGCCTTTCTAGGATTCGTCGTGTACCTACTTACAAGACTTACTGCATATGTTATGTCGGGTCAAGTATAGACCATAAAATACATCAAAGAACCCACTATATTAGCATATGGAATGCTATTTATATAAGCTCTTTAGAAATCAGTATTGGGACACTGATCTATACTCAACATGAATTGAGAGTTTGTCGGAGTCACAACAGGCTTTGAATTTGACATACCAAACTTTTTTAGAGTCTTCCGTAGGTATACCTCTTGAGATAAGCATAATTTTGACTGCTTTCTATCTCTTCAAATGTCAATCCCAAGAATCCTGGACGTAGCTCCCAGATCCTTCATGTCGAACTCCTTATTGAGTTCAGCCTTCGCCATCATTACATCTTCGACATTGTTGCTTGCTATTAGAATATCATCTACACAAAGCAACAATATAACAAATGAATTATCAGGTCAAAATATGAAGTAAACACAGTGGTCGAACTGACTTTTAATGAAACTTATGCATGCCATGAACTTGTCGAATCTCTTATTCCACTATCGAGGAGATTTTTTCAGTCCATATAAGGATCTTTTCAACTTGCACACAATATTCCTTCACCTTTTCGACATACCCTTCAGGTTTCCTCATTACGATTGTTTCATCTAGATCACCATACAAGAATACAGTCTTCACATCCATCTGTTCCAATTCAAGGTCAAATTATGCCACCGTGGAAAGCAACATTCGAATGATTTGTGCTTCCCAACAGGAGATAACACATCATTAAAGTCGACACCTTCTTTCTAAGTGAAACCCCTAGCTACAAATCCTGCTTTGTATCTTTTCGACTCCAGTCCTTCGATTCCTTCCTTAACTTTAAAAATCCATTTACAGATGACTAACCTGGCTTCAGTAGGTTTCTTGATCAACTCTCATATGTTTTTATCATGAAGAGATTTCATCTCATAATCCATGGCCTTCAGCCATTCAGTCTTCTTTTGACTCCTCATAACTTCCTTATAGTCTCTAGGTTCTTCACCGAGAACCTCACTTGCAGAAATCAAGGCATAAGCTATAAGATCTGCATACCCAAGTCTCTGACGTGACTTGATGATCTCCTAGACTTGTCTCTTGATAGAAGGTAATCATTATCATTCTCCTCATCTTCGACATTAACATCTGCTTCTTCTTCGACTTCATCTGGGGTACGCAATTCAACATCAACATGCTCCACCTTAACAGGAATCTCTCCCTGTTCCAGCTCTTCATCATCATTATCATTCTTCTTGAAACCCATACCTGCTTCATTGGAAAATACATCTCTACTGGTGATACACCTTCTGTGACCTAGCTCTAGGCACCATAGCCTATAAGCTTTGACTCCTTCAGAGTATTCCATAAACATGCATTTCAAGGCTCTAGGTTCGACCTTGTCTTACCTAATGTGAGTATAGGCCACACAACCAAATACTCTCAGTTTGTCGAGACTAGGTGGATGTACCGACCAAACTTCTTCAGGTGCCTTCATATCTAACGCAGTCGAATGACATCTGTTTATTAGATATGTTGCTGTCGAAACAACCTCAGCCCAAAACAACTTCTTTAACCCATCACTAGTTAACATGCATCTAATTTTTCCAAAATAGTTCGATTAAACCTTTTTGCCAAACCATTTTATTGTGGAGTCCCTGGAATAGTTTTGTGCCTTGCAATACCTGACGCAACACGAAGGCTGTCGAACCCCTCATTGCAAAATTCAAGGCCATTGGCGATTTTCAACCTCTTGACCTGTTTTCCAGTCTGATTTTCGACCAGAGTCTTCCAACCTTTGAAATTCTCAAAAATTTCATCCTTAGTCTTTTGGATGAATACTCATAACTTCATGGAATAATCATCAACTATGGATAGAAAATATCTTGCTCCTGAATGTGATGGACACCTTGCAGGCCCCCAAAGACCAGCATGGATGTAATAAAGGGATCCATGCGTTATTGTTTGTCTTTGTTGAACTTCACTCTGCAATATTTTCTAAGTACACAAGGTTCACAAAATTTCATCCTTTTGACTTTGTATCCTCCAAGAAGATTTTGTTTTCCTAATTCGACCAAACCCCTTTCACTGATATGGCCCAATCTCATGTGCCAAATTTCTGTTTTCGACAACGGTTTTGTGGATGCAACATTTTTCGAACCACTTACACCTTCAGCCTCAAGGGTATATAAGCCTTATTTTTTCACGCCTCTCAAGACTTCCTTCGACCCCTTCATGACTTTTAGGATACTTTTCTCTCCTTGAAAAATATATACCTTCCTGTCAAATTCACCAAGAGAAATTAAATTTCTCTTCAAATTAGGTACATACCTGACTTCAGTCAATAACCTTATTGATTCATCATGGAGTTTGAATCTCACAGATCTAATACCTGCAATTTTGTAAGATTTGTTGTTTCTCAGCACCACCGATCCACCATCTTGATCACATATCTCCTTGAACAGCTCTCTGTTTGGATTCATGTGCTAAGTACAACCTGAATCCATAATCCACTCCTTTCTTAAGTCGCCGCTTGAAACCACAAGAACATCAGATGATTCAAAATCATCTTGAACAATGGTTGCGTTGCCGTTATCTTTACCTCTATGATCTTTCAGGCGTTCAGGACTTACCTTTCTTGTGTGACCCTCCTTCTTACATTGATAGCATCGAATACCAGATGCTTCGCCCCTATAAGACTTATGTTGACTTTTACCTTTCTTCTTGTCGAACTTACCATCCTCTTGCAAGAATTTTCCCTTAACGACCAAACATTCGCCCACTGTTGAAGGTTTATGCTCTTTTCGTTCATTCAGGTACTTAGAAAACAAGGCTGATTAAACTTCTTCAAAACTCAGAAACTCCCTTCCATACAAGAGAGTTTCTTTGTAGTGAACATGTGTTCTGGACAAAGCACACAATAATAACAGTGCTTGATCTTCATCATCGATCTTCACATCAATATTTTCAAAATCAAGAATCAGCTTGTTGAACATATGCAACTGTTCAACCAACACTTTGTCTTCACTCATCTTGAATGAATATAAAGCTTGCTTCAGGTAGATGTGATCTACCAGAGATTTGGTCATGTACAAACTTTTAAGTTTCAACCATAACGCCGATGTCGTAGTTTCCTTTGATATTTTTCGAAGAAACTTATCACCAAGGCTCAACAAGATTGCGTTGTGCGCTTTCTCTATCATATTCGTCTTTTCTTTTTCCGTTAACGCAGTGTCCATGGCTGCCTCTCCCTTCAACGCTTCCAAACAACCCTGCTGAACTAGTAGCACTTTCATCTTCAAGAGCCACAAACCTAAGTTGTTCATTATGGTGAACTTTTCAATCTCATACTTTGTTGAAGGCATCTTCCTCCACGCTCACCGCACCAATTTGTTGTGAATTAGGATGCCTTAAAACAAAATATACTCGGTTTCGTTATAGGCAAGAAACACACAAGGGTTAGAGTTGAAAAAGAAAAACAACAAGGATTCGTTATAACTGTTATTCTTTACTTTCTCTATCAATCAGACTACAAGTACTCAAGAATAACAAATAACCCTCTTACCCTAATTAGGATTTGTCACACCACACTTAAGATGAGAGACTGGTATGTTATTTATAGTAAAACCTAACATACTAAACTAATGAGTTTTTTTAACAATTACCCATTACAAGTTAACTTAGGATACAAACTAACTTAAATAATTAGATCCTTAATATAAGGTCCAATTCGACAACTACACACTAAAACACAATTCGACTATAACATGTAAGTCTTCGACAACAGTATGTGAGCAAACTTCAACGACATGCTAACTAAAATTTGATCCAATATCTCACACGAAAGTTTTAAAGTTGGTAAAATAATTAAATCTCAATGTATATACTAACCATTACTAACCATATAAAAATAATTGCAAGTTCTAGATCATAGACACTTAAATGGATACTTTCTTATAGGCGGTTTGTTATTAGAGATTCATAAAACTATAGCCTTTTTTCTTTGCAGATGTTAAGAAATAACTTTTTTTATGTGCTTCAAAATATGAAAGAAATGATCCTAGAAACCTTGAAACACAAGTAATTTATTGCAGCCTTTCCATTTCAGTCAAGAGAAGAACAAGCTAAAAATAATTTAATAATATTTTGTTATTACATTCTCTTTGAGGGAACATTTGCTGTTTCCGTAGGAATGATTCATAAACGGAACAATCAAAATTAAAAAAAAAAAAAAAAACTTCTGTTAAAATTAGCCTAAACTAATCTATCTAAATCTCCTTTAGCTTGATATACTGCTCAATTCAAGCGATAAGTGAGGTTTAGGAATTCATCCTCACTGCATGGAATTGTGAGACCGCCCATAGGATGATCATATCTGAATTCTTCTTCTACTTTATTTAGTAATTCTTGAAATAATGGTTGGTTCAAGTATGATACTGGAATCACAAACCGCTTCATTTTATCTCCAACATAGACAGCAAGATAGCCTTTAGGGACTTCAATTCCTTTGGTAGATCCTTGGGGCGTTGGAAATGATGCCTTTCTTATAATACTTGTTATGCGGAAACCCATTCTTTTTTATGTAAAAGGATTGGATGGGAAATAGATATTGAGTTGTGATGCTTGTGAAACCAAGGAGTAGTGTATATATATAGTTGTAATAGGTTCTAGTGAGGGAGAAGGGATCACATGGTATTGTCTAACAGAGGTCATTTTCAGGGATTAGGAAATTTAAGACAATGAAATGGTGATAGAAACCTGATGTCTGTTGTTGCATGTTGTAATAGCTAATCCAATGGTAGACATGGTTTAGACATCTCACATGCTTCTTCAAATTGACAAATCAACTAATATACGTTTACCAGCTAAATATTTAACAGATTTATGTGCTATTTATGTAGGTCCTGGGTGATATCAGCTCAGAACCAGTGTTTGGCGGCAAGTAGAGAACCAATATTGGACACAAGATCATGAGTCATTATGTTTGTGTATTGTCTATTATATTATTTGAGGATTTGGAAAGACCTCTAAGACAATACCATGTGATCTTATCTATGCTCTTGTCTCCTTGTATACTCTTTCATCTCATCCTCCTAAATCTTATACTATAGTCTTCACCAATCATTCATGTAGCTAATCGTTTTTTAATATTCATTTCTCTATATATATTCATTGCTACAAGCATTTACAACCAACACAAATCATTCACATCCTAAAGCATTAGAATATCAAAAACTTTCCCTTGCTTACAAGTCTTATTTAAAACATCTTCTTTTCAAGTCTCCAACGCATACAACAATGGATTTTCGTTTTCCTAGTATGATCAGAAGATTATCATCTTCAAAAGCTATGGGCATGCCAAGAGGATATGTTGCTGTGTATGTTGGAGAGAAACAAAAGCGATTTGTGATACCAATATCATACTTGACCCAACCTTCATTTCAAGACTTGCTGAGTCAAGCCGAGGAAGAGTTTGGATACGATCATCCAATGGGTGGCCTCACCATTCCATGCACAGAAGATATCTTCCAAAGTATAACTTCCGGCTTGAATGGACTATGAAACTAACACTAAAAGAGACTGACATAGCCTAGTAGAGATATGTTTTTGTATACTAGGCATCTTACCAAATTGTAAAGATGTAAGAAACTCACCATTAGATTGACAGAGTTAGAATTTACTGATAATGAATTCAATTACTCAAACATTTTTGTGTTTTCTGTTAATTGCACTTAAGAACATATGAAATATACTACATGAGTAATGTTGCTTGCTATCAAACAAAGTACTTATGAAATTTTCAAAGCAGAAATATATAATAACTCATGATTCCTAGCATGAGCAGATCACAGTTATTTTCCCTAGGACAAAAGATGAAATACAAAATTATCATAGTTTTGTTTTTAACAACATATCTTCAAAAGAATTAAAATGCAAAATAACAATGGTAGTAACAAGGTCAACTATTCCACTTAATGACTCAGGCCTCATTCTAAGATGCTTATTCTTGGATATCCTTAGTCATGGGCTCACAAACTACCACTTGCTGTTGTCTTACACATTTTAATCAATAGTCACCCGAATACTGGCCCACTTTGTATATGACTCATCAACAAAGTTATTGCTTTCTCACATTTTCAAATTTTAGTGCACATTGTTGATATATTCACATTACTATTAGTCTTTAGTCCCATAGGGGCTTCAACTCAATACTGGTTGTACGTTATAAGCAATGTTTTAAAAATTGGACTGAACCAGCCGGTTCAACCGGTTAGACTGAAAATCGGAGATGAATCTAGTTGGGTCAATTTTTAAAAATCGCTAGTGGGTTAAAATTGAAGTTAAACTAAAAAAAACCGGATTGAACCGTCCAAAATCATTCGAATTAAAAAATCTGAGTTGGTTTTGTAAAATCGCCCGGGTTCCAAAAAGTTCATCAAATTGACTATTTTTTTAAATTTAAAAAAAAAATTTAATATGTTAATTTTAAAATTTAACATACATTTCTCAATCACAAAAAACGAATTCCGTGTGTTTTTTACAACCATATAAACTTTTATGTTTTGTCACTCCATTATAACACACTCCATCATTATTATGCTGTCTTTTTCAAACATAGTCACGATGTACAACTCTATTGATTGTCGTTCAAGTCAATATTGTTTGTTTTTTAAGACTTGTTTGTCGTAGCTCGACTCTAATTCGATTTTTTGTTGTTTATCGATGTATATTGTATTATTTATTTTTGGTATTCTATCTTATTTAATTTAGGTATTCTTAATTATTTGAACTTTTATTTTAGTTATTACATTTTATATTTTAATCTTGATTTCAATTAGTTTAATTTATTTTATTGTGATTCTTTAGTTTGTTTAAAATATTCTTAAATGATGATTGAAATGAAGTGAAAAACTACGTTAATGAAATTTAGTTTCATATTATTAGTTTATTTAATAAATAGTTGGACTGTAGGTTTAACCGTTTTAACAATTGAACTTTAAACTGTAAGTTTTATCGGTTCGATCTTTGGTTCAGTTTTAAAACATTAGTTATAACTGCTTTCAAAAGAAGTTCTTTGCCTTTCAATTAAACGTTGATATATGAGAGAGAGAGAGAGAGAGAGAGAGAGAGAGAGAGAGAGAGAGAGAGAGGAGAGAGAGAGAGAGAGAGAGAGAGAGAGAGGAGAGAGAGAGAGAGAGAGAGAGAGAGAGAGAGAGAGAGAGAGAGAGAGAGAGAGAGAGAGAGAGAGAGAGAGAGAGAGAGAGAGAGAGAGAGAGAGAGAGAGAGAGAGAGAGAGAGAGAGAGAGAGAGAGAGAGAGAGAGAGAGAGAGAGAGAGAGAGAGAGAGAGAGAGAGAGAGAGAGAGAGAGAGAGAGAGAGAGAGAGCTATTGCATTATATTCGAATACCAAAAAAATTAAATTATAATAAGGAAAAATATTATATCTTGTCCCTTAATTATACTTTTGGGTTCACATTGTTCTCTTAAATTTTTTTTTTTGTGTCAGATTGTTTTTTTAACTCTTAAAACGTGTCATGTTAGTCCTTTTGGTACTGTCGCGACAAATTTAACGACCAATTTTTAAATTTTTCTATTGCTAATTCGACAAAAAAAAACTAACATGAAAGATTTTAGACAACACTTCACTAAAATAAATCTCTGTCTAATAGTACATATATAAGCTTTGAAAAACTAACTTATATAATACCCAAAAGACTTGAAAGAATCAAACCTGTGAACAATCTCCAGTTAGAAATCTTCTTTACCGGCCATATTATTTTTATAAAATAAATGCCACATTTAATATATATGAAATATAGTTAGTTATAATTTCCTTTGACTTTACTAATATGCTTTTCTAACGATAGTTTCTCCTTATATATTATTTAATAACTATTTTAAAAAGATATTTCAAAAATTATAAAATTATTTCTTTTCCAACTTTTTTATTTCTCTTATTTTTTATTTCATTATTTTCAGGGTTTGTCACTTCTTCTCTTTTATTTTGTAGGTTCACTATTACGGAAAATCCATTTAACAAAGGTTGAGAAATATATATAATCACGCGGGCACATGCGTTGTTATGTAAAGTGTCGTTGTATATATGATACTTATAATCATAACCCAGTAATCATTGTAATAAATTGTAAAGCGTGCGTCGTATCACTATGGGTTTTCCAAAAGACAGTTGTGATAAAAATAATGGCCTTAGGTTCGATTTTTAGCTGCGCCGTTTTGATATTTATTTTTTTCTGGATAGTGCGCAAGATATTATAATGGTTATGATATATGACCGTTGTTATATTTTTTTACAGAATTAACAAAAATTATCCTGCTTTTATAATTAATCCTATTATTTAACCTGTATTATTGTTCACCATATCACAACAAAAAATACTACTCACATTTGTGATAAAATTATCATAATAATATTAATTGTATCATATTCATAATATCACATAATTGTATCATATTCGTAATATCACATAATTGTATCAGAACAAACAACCTACAATTTATTAGAACAAACAACCTACAATTTACACATTACATAACATCACATAATTGTAAATTGGTGTTTTGTTTTCTTGTCTCTTGGTGTCTTGACTCTGAAGACCTATGATTTCAAATAATTATACTTGTTAGTAAAAATACTTAGAAACTATCACATACTATTAATATATTATGAATAAAGAATAAATTACGTACTTGCTAATTTTCCCACATGCATTCTTCATGATCGATTCGAATAGCGTGCACGACATCTCCATCAACTTCATCACATGAGGTAGGAACTTGTGTTGTGTAAGAAGGTGTGGACGAAATATCAAGACTTTCATCACTAAGAGGAATGTGTTTTTCATGAAGAACGATTGACCATTTCTCTAATATGTCTGATGGGTCGGTACATAAAAAACTTATTTTTCTTGAGAAGCCATGATGAATGGTTCGGTCATCAAAGATGCCTTGCCAATGTCGACCCAGGTGAATCCTAAGTTATCAATGTGTACACCATTACTATTATTGGGAACCCACTTGCATTTAAATAAAGTCACGTACTTTAAAAATAACATAATCAATCTTTCAAATCTCATCAATGACACCATAAAATGTGTTAGTTGCCAATACATGATTCTTATCTTTCAAACTATAGAAATACATTGATTCGGCTTCAACCATAAGCCAACTATTTTGCATTGTACTACGATCATCTTTTGATTTTGTATAAAAGTTATAATGACCAATGTCGTATGCAGTCCAAGTAATGACACAAAATTTTAGCTTGTAGGACAACCATTTAAATATCTCGAATGCACTACGATCATTAGATACACTTTTATTAAACTAAATTTAGAGTTTAATGATAACAAATTCAAGTACTCAAACCTCATCTCTGTGTTTTTGGTTTATTGCTCTTAAGAACATATGAAATATACTATATGAGTAATGTTGCTTGCTATTAAACAAAGTACTCGTATTCTGGAAAATTTCAAAGCAGAAATGTATAATAATGTTAGAACACAGATTGGTTCTTAATATATCTCTATGTTTTGATGATAACATTAATGAAAT